AGGGCAGGAGAGGGTGCGGGTGCTGGGGAGGGAGGGCGGCTGAGGCTGGGAGGGGGGATGTCCCCAGCTGTCCCCAAGCCTGCGCCCACCTCCACCCCCCGTCTCCCTTGGCCCAGAAAGGGGACATCATCGGCATCATCGAGAAGCCGCCCGTGGGCACCTGGACCGGGCTGCTCAACAACAGGGTGGGCTCCTTCAAGTTCATCTACGTGGATGTCATCCCTGAGGAGACGGCCCCCGCCCGCAAGAGCCGGGGTCCCGGCAAGAGCAAGCGGCCCAAGCCCAAGACCCTCCACGAGCTGCTGGAGCGCATCAACCTGCAGGTAAGGGACGGTGGCCCGGGGCGGGGACAGCGGCACCCAGCACAAGCCCAGGGTGCCAGCAGCAGGACCACCCTCCTCTCCGCTCCCCCTCATCCCTGTGGGTCCCACCACTTCATGCCCAAGCACCGCTGGGGAGGCAGGGGGGACACACGGGGCTTTCCTGGATGATTCTTGGGCAAGTGCCAGCCATGGACTTGCACCAAGGTGGTAGCCACGTGGCTAGCACTGAGGGCCAGGCAAGGGAGAGCTGGGGGAAGCCATGCCGTGCTCCGCTCACCCCTCCGCCGCGCTGCCCGCCGCCCTCCCCCCCCAGCAGCACACCTCCACCCTGCTGCTGAACGGCTACCAGACCCTGGAGGACTTCAAGGAGCTGCGGGAGACCCACCTCAATGAGCTGAACATCACGGACCCCCAGCACCGTGCCAAACTGCTCACGGCCGCCGAGCTCCTCCTGGATTATGACAGTAAGAGCCGGGGGGGGGAGGATTTGGGACACCCCACGCTGACCACGGCCCCCGCGCCGGGCAGCCCCTGCCGCAGCCTCGCTGCCCGCTAACGCCACGTCCCGGCTCTCGCAGCAGCGAGCGAGACGGAGGAAGGCGACAGCTCCGAAGCCCAGCCTTCGCCCTTGGAGCCCAAGGGGGACATTCCCCGGGACTCGGGCTGCTTCGAGGGATCGGAGACCCTGGACGGCAGCCGGGAGGAGGCCGAGCTGGGGGGTCCCGAGGGGCAGCTGCGGGCGCTCTCCCTGGCAGAGTCCTCCTGAGCCTGCCCTGCCTGCTGGCACTGCCCCGCCGACGGGCCCAGCCCACAGCCGCTTCCAGTGGGTCCGGGCGGGAGGGGCCGGCCGCTCCGGCGGGGAAGGACAGGTAAGCGCCAGCAGTGGGACCGGCAGGTGTTATGGACAGCTCGGCCCTCGGTCCCCCGAGGCCGCCCCGTTCGCTGCCCCCAGGACATTTTGCACTGCGCTGCCTCACACCGCTGCCCCGACACAAGTGCTCCAGACAGCCCGGGGCACCGCGCTCCCTGCCGAGGGCCTGGATTGCCGCTCCTGGGTTTGCCCCACTTCATCCACAGCTTTAGGAGCTCCTCCTGGAGCCCTCGTCTGCTGGGCTGAGGGCACGGGAGCCTGCAAGGACAGAGAGGTCTGCGGCAGGCACGGCCGGAGCAAACCCAGCGCTGGGCAGCTGGGTGGGAGAGCGCAGAGGTGCCACCGAGCCCAGAGGTGCCACCGAGCCCAGCTCCTCGCCATCAGGGAGGACACCCGCACCGCCTTCCTCCAGCACCTTCCTCGCACCGCCAGGGCGGGCAGGGAAAAGTTCGCCGGACAGTTTGGGCTGTGGGGGGAAAGGCTCAGCTGAGCCGAGGGCAGCCCAGCGAGGGCAC